TGTGTGTGTGTGTGTGTGTGTGTGTGTGTGTGTGTGTGTGTGTCCGTGTCCGTCCGTGTGTGTGTGTGTGTCTTGTCTGTCTGTCTGTCTGTCTGTCTATCTTTACAGAGAGGTAAAACTGTCTTCCTGTTTAGACCAGCATATCCTGTTCAAAAACCCAGGCTGCTATACCTGTTTTGTGCGTTGTGTTCTAGATCAGGGAATGTTATGCTTTTAATCTTCCACCTACACCTTTATATGCAATCAATTTTATTATTATGAGAGGGCATTTCTCTGATGTGGAACTGTACACTGTAGCATAATAAGAGCAGTGCTCATGTGTTTCTGTGCCTAATGGCCTGTGAATTTTCTGCCCCACTGCAGCTAGGAGAAAAGCAGCCTAATTTCCAGGGAAAAGCAAAGCCGAATTCTGTTCCCTGATTGGACGCACCGCTGGTTTTTCATATGAGAGTCACGCGTAAACATACTCGCACGCATATACAGAAAGCATACAGTATGCCCATGCAACTTCAACTCTCTCCCTCTCTTAGAAACCAGTCTCAGATGAAGAACTTTTGACATTGCCGAGTGCTACTGCTTAACGTGGAGTTCAGAGGCGGGTTTGCACAACAAACAGATGTTCTTTGATGTCAGCTGCAGTGAGGGGGAGGCAAAAAATGGGAACGCTAAAAAGAAGTAGGAGGAAGGTGTCAGAACTCTAATCACCATGCAGCGCTCAGAAAGAAATCTATTGTATCTCTTAGCACAAACACTGGTTTGTATTCACCATAACCTTGCCCATTATACAATGTAAAATTCACTTGATTTGTTATATCATTAAGAATTGATTCAAATTGTTTTGAACTGTGTATTGCCTTGGCATTTCTTTTAGGATTACAAAGCTGACAGTGACCTGTTACGCTGACCTTATCTTCTCTTTAAATAGACTTTGAGTCACAGTTACAACGCCGGCTCGCTGATCCAGAGAAGCTAAATTACACAGGCTGTCAACCAAACCAACGTAGAGCTCCGTTCGGGCTTGTAATAAATTATGTAAAAGAGCCTAACAGCAAGAAAATGGCCGTGCCATTTACTGTCACTTCAGACAATTTGTATTATGACATTTCACGAACGCTTGGCCAATTACACTGCATAGATCTATTGCATAAACTAAATAATAGTTTCTCCACTCCAGCTATGTGATTTAGTTATTCATTAAACCACCCACATCACAAGTGCAAAATACAGCTCAGGACATGTACTCCATGAACAGCTCATTTAGGTTAGTGTGTGTGTGTGTCAGCACTGTGTATACGTTTTACACCCGCATGCCTACAAAACCAGTAGTATTTTCCAAAACAACTACGTTTACATGTCACAATTTATTTCCACTGCAGTCAGCCTAGTAGATGCTATTGATGGTGTAAAAGAGTACTGGTGTTTGTTAAAAGCAAAAACTGCTATCATATTACAACAAATATATCTACTGTCTATATGATATCTACATTTTTTTCCGTTTGAAACAAATACATGTTTATCTGTTGACCGCATGATTCATTTGAAATACTATTTAAATACTACTTTAAAATGAATCACTAAGAATTTGTATTAATACTAATATATTTAAAATACATTTCCACAATTTTAATTCAGAAACACAGGTTATCGGCCACCTCTCTGAATCTTTTGAGATGCTATCCTAGACCTTTTACACTACTACAAATATAGTATGAAAAATGTATTATCACACCTTTCAGTTTAGCCTAAGATCATAACGGTATAGATTTTGTTTGGATAAAAGATGCACGCTGTGTAATGTCTCTCTAGTTCAGGCTCATTTCCAATACTTTTCCATTGTCTCAACAGTTTCAACTGCAATATTGGTTACAGTTTAATCAGACCTCCATTCGCTGACCGACATTTTAGCTTTAACTAGTCAGCTGCCTTTGTGATGGAGGAGCTGTCATAAGGTGCAATAAAAACACTCACACACGCATAACTATCTGACATGAGGGTGTGACGTGTCAAGACATGTAGGCATTACCATTGTCTAGGCTGAAGTACTGTATGGTAGCTTATCTTGACGAATCTCCATCAGTAACTGAACAGTTCACCCATAAATGAAAAACCATTTACTCGTGTTACTCCAATCGATATGACTTTTTTCTGTTTAGAATGTTTGCACTGCTGCTTTCTGTACAATTAACGTGAAAGTTGACAGACACTAAATGGCTTCAAGTTTTGCTATGTTTATCACATAATTCCATCCTAAGACTACTTATGGTGTTTTTCATCCTTTTTGAAGATTTGCTGCTCATGGTCCACTGTATAGATTCATCTTTTTGTGTTCTATGGAGGAAAAAAGTCAGACAGGACTTGGAACAATATCATAGTTGGACAATCTTTTGATAATCAGTAACATACTGACAGTCCTTCTGAAATTGCATGAGTTTGTACTGTTTTACAGGTGACAGGTGAGTTTTTATTTTAATTTTATTTCTTTATTTTTAAAGTTTCAGGAACAATCTGGAATTCTTACAGTGTTTTCTGTCCTGGAAGAACATCTCGATTTATTTCCAAGTGCTTCCTGAAGAAGAGGAGATGCAACAGAAACGTGTCCTTGTTGGCACGTCTTATGACTTCAATCTGGCATGTGGCTTTGTCTTTACTGCAGTTGCAGTTGCTCGCACTGTCTGCACTGTCATTTGAAGTTGAGAAAGAGCTGTAAGATGTGGAAATGGCCCATGAAGATCAAACAACTACCCCTTTCCTCTGTGTTACAAGAAAAGAGGAAGAAATGACATGCTGAGACATCAGTCCAGTCAAAAAAAAACTTGGAGGTGTCAAGAGAGCAACTCGATTTGTGGATGGAATTGGAAGTTAGAGTGTGAAGGGGGCAGAGAAGGGGAAAAAAGGAAGGGTGTGAGGTAAAAAAGAGACAGTTGACTCAAATCAAATGGCAATGGAGGCCAAGCCCTGTCATATGGCTCGAGGATTTCTGGACCTGCTGTGCTTAGAGAGGAAAGCACATTATCTTCTTCTGCATTCCATCCACACATGTCTCAAATCAGCACACTGGACACCGGCTCATAGTTTAAGCCAGATAATATATTTGCCAGTTTTGTATTTTCTGAAGTTAGAAGATGAAGGTAAACTCGTGGAGAAGCATAAATGGCTTGTGAAAAGTAAAACTATAACCTATATCCACTGACTGAGCTCTTGTGTCCAATCTGGCCCCGTTACATGAATTTTCTACCAAAAAGAAGGGTGTTCTGGGCTTGAAAATTTGGTTTAAAAGTGAAGTGCGTCTTTTTTTCTTTCAAAATACCTGAAGCAGCAGACTGCGATGTGTATTTGTTTTATGGACACTCTGCTCCTGTTTGTTGTGCTGCAGATGTACTCCAGCCACTTCATTTTACCTGTCTATCAGAAATGAAATTATTTTATTCACAAATATCATATGTGAGCCGATTGCTATGAATTTAAATAACTTCAGACCATTGCATCAAAGCTAGCTTGTGATGCCAAAAACGTTGCTGAACTACATTATTCAAAATAAGGAACATCATGGTCCTCTTGGTGGGAAGAGGTTGTTCTGAATATCACAATGTTTTTTTATAAAAAGAAGAAAAAATTGTTCTTTTAAGAACTGTTCACTGAAAAGGTTCTTCTGTGGCATCGCTGCAAAAAACTAGCACATACTTATTATACCGGCCAATTCTGAGAGAGGTTCGGCCGAGCACCTGCACCATTTGAGAAGAAAAAAGTTAATATTGGAAAACATTTCAAAGTAACTCATGGAAGCAGTTAAGAAAACGTCAGATTGACCTTACTGGAAGGAAAAAGCTCAGAAAGATCAAAGCTGGAATTGAAGACAACAGTCCTCGAGAGATGAAAACAGGCATAGAAAGAGAACAGACAGGAAAGGGGCATCTTTAGTTTGCCTCGGCACTAAAATGAGAGCTACTCAGTATTCACGACAGAAGGACAATCCATGGAAACCAGATGCTCCTAAACTTTCATGTATCCACCTCTTTTAAAAATCCAGTTTTCATTTCCTGCTACAAAATCCACTAGTATACGTAGTGAGCTTGAACTGAGATGAATTGGTGGCATGCTAGCATGCTAAACTGTGTTAGATGTTTACTGGAAGAGAGTCTTGCCAAATGTTACGGTATATAATGTGTGTAGAATATCTGACCGGCTATTTCTTGTCTTTTAGATATGGGGGTTTTGGCCTCTTTTTGTGATTGGTGCATCTTAAAGCTTTGCGATTGTAACCCAATTTTTTTATGCGTGAAGTTATCAAAATAGAGCATGTGACCGGCTATTTCTTGTCTTTTAGATATGGGGGTTTTGGCCTCTTTTTGTGATTGGTGCATCTTAAAGCTTTGCGATTGTAACCTCAAAATAGAGCATGTCATTAGCTTCAATGTGCTTGCAATCACTGTAACCAATCAACTGATATTTATTTCAGTTTTCCCTAGGAGTTGTGAAAGAACGACTGTTTTCAAATGCATGCTTTGATGTAGCCAAAGAGGACACATACTTTGCCCTGACATTTATTGTGTCGGAGCATACCGGTCGCAAGACATTTACACCTCGTAACAAGCCTACCTGGCATTCGGACAAATTTCCCCACTGTTCTGAGGTCAGATTAACATGAAAAATGTCACAAGTCTCCCCGGCCCCTTCTCATTATTCCAGCTCTTAAAGCACAAACACCTCTGTCTCCTTCAAAACAGTGACCTTTGCTGCTTTTCCCTGCTGTTAGAACCTAAATTAGTTTCTCAATGGCTCACTTTCTGCTTAACGCTAGCCTGCGAATAAAAAGAGGGAATTAGATCTACTAAAATTAATTTAAAAATGTACATTTGAAATGCTTGTTGAATTGAAATAAATGTTGACTGAAATAAAATATAAAAAAACTATAAAAACAGTGAAGTATAAAAAGAATATATATATAGAATATAAAGAATTAAACAATATATAAACAATTAAAGTTAGTAATTTTGTTGCGAAACTAATAGTAAGAATATCCTGCAAAGGTGTTTACAGATCGACCAGTGTGAGAATGAACATGTGGCTCTGCACGTTCCTTCATTTCTGTTCCATATGTCTCCTATTGTGAAACTGTGGATATTTCTCAAGACTAGGCATTACAGACAGACCGCTATTCAATGTGAAATCCTTACAGACATTTATAAAGTGAAATATTGAAAAACTCCACCTCAACGCATACATTGAGTAATCCAGTAACTCAATCCATATTATCAATACAGTTATAACAACACTGTAGCTAAAAGTCTCAACTCCACATAGATGATGCATGTCTGATGCAGTTCAGCAATAATGTATCAGAGGCAGTGCTATACTGTTTATAGTCAGAACTAAAGGCACAGTGTGCAGTGGTCTGCATAAAACACCTTTAGCCATTTTATATTCACAATACACAAAACAGCCTTGAGATTCTCTGAGAGGTGCTACAGGGTCACATAGGTCTGTTGTAGTGAATGCTGGTCATGTATTCTGCTGCCTGTAAGTGGTCACCCCGCGGGTGACATTAGCAGCTGGGGGATGACCAGTCACCTTGACCCCAAAGACAAGTCAATATCCCTTTTTCAATTCTCCTGTCAATCGTGTATGAAGACTATTGCTCAAGCATCCCTCCCAACAACCAAATAACTGCCATGGCTGCAAAGTCACACCGAAAGCATGTTAAACAAGCAGTGTTTCCACTAAACAGGGAGGTTTCCATTTCTAGAGAATTGCTCTTGTGTGTAAATGAAATCAGCCCACCATAACAGAACACAAAGCTCATGCCAACTGAAGCATATAAGCTTTCTTTGGCTATAGTTCTTATTTTTATCAGTCGATTCAAAACAGCACAGATCAGTCTCAGCTGCAAGGAAGTGAGAAAAGATGCTCCTTCTTATGAGGAGGTGATAATTTGGTTAACTGATCAGATTGGATCGCTTAAATGTGTATTTTCAGGATAACTTTACAAATGCAAGTCATGCATGGTAGAGTATATACAGACTGGACTACAGTTTTTACTGTATTTTTTAATCAAATAAATGCAGCCTTGGTGAGCCTTTCTATTGCTAATTATCATTTATGCGTGCATTTAGAGTACAATCAAAACATGGTCATGATTTTTTATTGTTCCTAGTTTTTTTTCCATAGTTTGGCTATAAACTGGTTAAAGTTTAAAGACACTCAAGTCATGCACTCTCAATGACGAGATTGTTTGTTAATGTTTGATTTTGAAGTCTACCAGCATCACAGGAGATGTCCTGTCCATGTCAGTCATTCTACATGGCCATTTCCTGTTTGTCTAAAGTGCAGACTCTTAACATCAGCACAAACACAAATTC